TTTCACATAAATCATGGTTTGGCAGGAGAAAAAGCTTTAGCTCAGAGAGAAAAAGACTGAAACTTGTGTAAAGTGGAAGTCATAAGAACAGCAAAAGATGAGTGTCATAACCTAAAGGATGCTAGCAAAGTGGGGATCATCTTCGACTTGCAAAAAACTATGCCAACTCCTAATGTGTCAACTACGCATATTGTTTAAGGCAACTATGGACGTATAACTTAGGGGTCCATAACCTAAAAACTAAAACAACCGATTTCTTTATATGGCACGAAGAACTGGCGTCACGTTGATGTCAGGAAATATCATCTTGTCTCCTAAAATATATAGAAACCTCCCCCCATTTATGCTACTATGGCACCCTCGCCCTTCCAGGCGAAAACCTCGATGACTATCTGCACATTCTCTATGAGGAAATTCACTGTGTAGGTGTGTTAGCTGACTCAGTACGAAAGGCTGTTTCAGACGCCAATCCTGGACCCTACGTATGAAGTTTAAACATTGACGCAAATAATAGGGTAAACTAAAACCTATTAGGTTACCGCCGCCTCGACATAAGCCGCCCAAAAGCTAAAAATATAGCTTTCTCTAATGGAGTACGACCCGCTGAATTCTAGTGCTACCCATCCGATACTGGCTTCAACTTCGACTTTCTGAATGCCATTTTTAACACATTAAGTACAACCAAGACACTTAAAATATCTGAGGTTCAATATTCTGAGTCCAACAGGCGCTATATCGCAAACCGTGATATCCCGTTCTTAGTTCAGGCCCAGCGTCAAAACGTTAAAGGTGAGACGCGCCCTACCTCTTTAACTCAAGAGGACCCAGCTCAACAATCCCCAACTTCGAACTAGTCAAGACTAGAGAAGTTAACAATGTAGGCACCACTTGGTGCTGCATCGTTTTTCCATTTAGAGACAATTGTGGAGGCCAAAACAAGAGTCATCTGACAGTCAAATTTTGGCCCTGCATTGAAAGAAACACTAATATTTAACTAGTAGATCATCGCTTGTTTATAAGTAGCCATTCTTATGAGTCTATCAAACTAAAACTTTGGTTTAATAGAGTTAAAAACAAGGACATGTATGTATCTGAACATTGGATGGAGCTGGTCTCTTTCTACAAGAAGAAAGATCTTTACTAAAGTACTGATGAAAAATGACGATTTTTTAGAAGCGTTTTTTAGCGTAAACGGAATACAGAATATGCAGTGGTTACATTTTCAGCAGGACAAACCTTTCACCCAGTTTTACAAGAAAACAGCTGGAGGTAGCATAGAAGAGTGAAGTGAGCTATGAGACCCACACAAGCTGGCAAAAATTCTGTCCTTCTGCCAGATATCTTTACAGTACCGATTCACATAACATCTCTCATTAAGCAAGCTTAATATTTAAATCTTAAATAGTTACTTAACTACGTACCTACAATCTACCATGAGTTCTACACAGATCTGCGACATGATGATCAACAAGCTGCCGAACTAGCAAACTCAGAAGAAGCAAAAGTCGAAAATGACGATTTGGATCAACATTACGACACTGATATTTACGAATCAACATGTATTAATGTTAGGATGAAGATTAAGTTTGTACAAAAACTTTATGATCGATTTACATTTTTACCCTTATGTTGCATTTCTTAGAAGTAAAGGGGTAAAGTGCTAGTTGGCAACCTAAAAATGGCTCCAAAATGAGTAAAGTCTACCAAATTATGAGTTTTGTTATAAAAAATAATAATAATGCCTACAGTTACTACATCGGAGAAGAAAAACTAGCATTAAATAATCATGGCAATTACAGTGAAGAGTCAACTTTGAACGGAGTTTATTCAAAACTTATTTTTTGTCACTTATACCCCTTTACTTCTAGGGTCAATTATTGTTGCTGAGTACTTGTTTATATCCGACTCCATCTATTCGGCGAAGCGCTTCCAATCGGCTTTATCTATTTTCCATTTCGGAGACAAACGGGTTGTGTGGTCACTGTTGTACATGTATCGAATTGGATACCAAGACAAATGTGGTTAAAGATCGATGTCACATATTGTTAGATCAGATGAGTAGCTTCTCCAGTTTTTATATTAAATCTAGTTGGACTTCAGTCATTTAAAAGAGACATGTTAAGATTATTAATTAATTAATTTCTTCAATTACAGTACCCCGTTGGTCTTTATATCCTGATCCCCAGATCTGATTATATGCATTTAGGTCTCCCAAAACGATTTGAGTAGGAATTTGATTGAAAATATCCTATCTTGATATTACTTCTCCAGGATGTAGATATATATTGCAAAGGTTTATATTAGTTTTTCCAACGAAGGTGGCGGCCTCTAAGTTAGTCGTATGCTAATCGAGCCATGAATTATTAATTAAAATTGATACACCGCCACTTACATTGTTTTGATTGGGTCTTATTTTGTTATAAAACAGATTATGACTTCAGCTTATATTTTGATTTTGTTTAAAATTGGTCTCTTGTAACCAGATAAAATCTGGATTTTGTTCTGAAATAATGATTTGTAGCATAGGAAGATTATTGTAATAGCCATTTATATTCCACTGTATTAATTTATTAAACTCCATTTTATTAATAACTCGTTTGTGAGCAGTCACTTTCTGTATCAGATATTAGGACTTGTAGGATTTGCGGCTGTAAGTGTTTTAGAAGAATTGTCCTTAATTTGGTATTTCGGGTCTTTGTAAATCTATCTTGAGTATAGGGATATATTTTGCTTAACATATCGATGAGAGCTGTGAAGTTGTTTGTATAGTTTTCAACTGTGGATCGGGTGAACCATTATTTTAGCCAAGAAGGTTATCTGAAAATAACTTAAAATACATGGTGGTGACTGCTGGTTTATCAATGCTTTTAGAGATTCTCTTATTGGGCTGGACTGGTAAACTTCGGTTTATTAATAGTACCATTAGAAAGCGGGGAAGAACTTAAGGTATCATCAATAGATATTTTTGAACTGGTTTGTGAAGACTCAATTTTCATATGTAAGGTAGTAGTTGTTTCGCTTGCAGTTTGTTTAGGGTCTACTTGATTTTTTGTAGTTGAGGTATCTGTTTGAGTTAAAGTAGGTGCTGGTGTGATGGTTGATATTTCTGGAGGAGTACATGTTGGGATTTTTTCTGCTGTGGTTGAAAGAATAGGATTTGGTTCTGATTGATAGGGTTTTTACAGTGTGTTGCCGTATAGCCGTTTTGTTTACAGCTGTAACACGTTAGGTTGCCGCTTGATAAGTAGACTCTGTATGGAGCATTATCGTAATTAATTATAAATAATTCTGAAATTGTAAGATCTGTTGGACTGATAAAGATTTGCCTTGTAAAGCTCAGTATGTGACTAAATTCAGGTAACGGTGCATTAATTTTTAAAAAAGACATTGTAGATAGAGTAACAAGCCCCATGGATTCGAGTTCTTTAATTAATACTTCATGAGGAATGGTTGGGCAAACATTAGAGAGAATAATTCTTTCGGATGGAGTTATATACCGTCGAACTTGAATAATCTGATTATTAACTTCAATGTTGCCATTAATTTCATTCATGAATTTTTCAACATTTTCCGATGATAAATACACATATTCTATTATTTGATAATCTAAAGCAGAATAGTATATTTTTGTTGATAGATGATTTCTGCCATTGGGAGGAAGTAATCTTATATTTTCGCATTTTCAATGGCATTAAAAATGATAGCCTGACTTTTTGGGAGAAATTTTAGTTGAGTTAGTACGGTAGAATAACTTCTTTGTGTAGAATTATCCATTTAAGAATTGACTGGTAAATTTATTTCAACATTTTGCGATACCTTTCGACAGAACAGATCGAAGTTGATCAAAAATTGAGTTCAATTGATCATTAATAACTTCACAGATTGGTTGAATTTTAAAAACTTGTTCTCATTTAATTTAAACTATTTTGGAGAATCAAAAAAATAAACACACCGTTCCGATGTAACTGATATAACCGATGTAATAATTCCTTATCCTTCAGTGTTTGGAGATTACTATCATTTTTATGTTTTTATACTTCTTTATTTATTAACTTCACTATACATTGTATTATACTATACACACTTTAAAAACAGCATAAAACAACATAATCACTTTATTTATTTCTAATTATAGTATCACATTTTCCAAACAAAAATATTTAACAACAATAATACTTTCGAAAACAATCTTTTCAATAAAATTAAACAAAAACAAAAAGATAGTCAAAACAATTTTAAACAGATTATTGAAGCATTTTTTATAAAAATGTTTAATCATTCTAATAATACATATTCCAAAATAATAACTTTTGCATGCTACCACTGTAGTTAAAACAATCATATATCTCTAGTATATAATTCATTTATTACAAAGTAATGTTGACATTAAAACTATTTAACAATGTTGCCAAATTTAGAACTACAATAGTTTCTGAGGAAATGCAGATAGCAAAGATGAAAAACATTTTGATCAATAGTTTCGTAACAGCAATTGGACTGATATAAAGTTTCTTATGGTAAAAGAAGGTAAAAGAATAATAAACATAAATTTTTAAAATTGAATGTAATATACATTTCCAATTTATCTGTAACTTGAACCCACTTTTTTTTTAAAAGAGTTTTCTGAATTTATCTTTTTATATCCATGGAATACCTTGTTAGTATACGAGGTCAAATTTGTTGATGACAACAAGTTACATTGCCTCTGTATAGCAATTAGCCAAAACAAATTTTATTGCAAATTTAATACAGTAATAATTAAAAATGTAAATAGAAATAAGAAATAATCTATATATATATATATATATATATATATATATATATATATATATATATATATACACTGCAACAAAATGTGTCGCCAATGTCGTCGCTTATTCATGATTTTGTACAACAAAATCTGTACGCTTTTGTCATTGTTAATGTCTTTTACTAGAAAAGAGCTAGATTTTTTTTTAATTTTCTTTCTCAACCGTCCACATTGCCATACTTCATTTTCGCTATACAGACATGTCCCATCCCATAGCTCGTTCAACTGCCATCTTCCACTTGGCATACCTGACGTCTCGTTCATTCTCCGTACACTTGGCCGTCCATTTTATCGCGGGGATGTCCAGTGCTTTGTTCAAATCCCACACTCCGACAGCTGCTCCTGCTACCATCGCTGCTCCTAGAGCTGTACTTTCGGCCATAGTCGGTTTTAACACTGTTATTCCTGCTAGATCTGCCTGCATCTGCATCAAGAGGGGATTGGCTGTCATACCACCATCAACCTGGAAAAGAAAATAACAAATTGATTATTTTATCAAGAAAAAATGTAGTAACTAGATATAATGAAAAGGAACGATAAATGTAGGAAGGTCCTACATTTAACTGCATGTTTTTTATTAAAATAATGAAATTGGGGACAAAATATAAGCATGTATATACAAATAGTAAGAAAAAGATTTAACTTTGAACATTAAACACGTTCAAAACAAACACGAGACACAGAATAGAGAAGCACGTGCGGATAAAAATAATACAAAAGTATTTGTGGTATTTAATTTCTACGTTCGGTGAAAGAGTTTTCTTAATACTTAGTCACAAAAATACAACCTTTGGATTATTAGGTAACTTTAAGGAAATATTTTTAATCTCAAATATATAAATGGTCCGAATGGCTAACATTAAAATATACTAACCTGTAAAACTGATAAAGGGGAACCATAATCACTGTTCATTGCTTCTAAAATATCTCTCGTTTGATAACAAACTGCCTCTAAGGTGGCTTTTACAATATGGGACGATTCTGTATCCTCAGATATTCCAACTATAACACTAAAAAAATGACTAGTAAGTTAAAAGACACTAAAAAGTCACTAAATTTTAAGAATAAAAAAAGAAAAAAAGCTTTCGAACACCTTTACAAAGTACCTCACAACGTACATTACAAAACACTTCATAAAATATCTTACAAATTCCATTTAAATAAATTTTATAAAATTTTAGGTATTTTTATAAAGTAATTCCGTTGCACAATAATTAACCTTCACAGCACGAGTGCCAAATATTGAATCCCTTTTAGGTCAGGAATGTGTGATTTTGTCTACATTTTTCCTGTCCCTTTCCCCGCGATGGCGACCTGTCTGTGGCGCCTTAAGAAGATGATTTTAGTGGTATCTCGCAGTGGCGTAACTAACAAATATAACTATGCTAAATACTTTTAAGATAAGAAATATTTCCTACATATATAATTACATTTTTTCTTAGCGTCAACTTTGTACTACTTTGCATAACGTCTCCATCCTTAGTAATATCTAGCACTTTTTTTAATTGGTTTATGTAATGACCATTTTCCTGCAAATTAGGAGCCGCAGATTCTTCTGCAGCTTCTAATCATTTATCCATCCCATGTGAGAATGTCGTTTCTTTCTTAACGTTTGTATCTTTTTTACAAGGTTTATTGTCCACGTCTGAATTTAACTCTTATCTAAATTACAATTAATTTTGAATTCTTATACATTTTTCTAACTAAGAACTAAGAGCGAATATGATTATATAATAACAGACAAAAAGCAAATTATTCAAGATGTTACTGTACTCAATAAACTATCAGTAGGAAGCGACCACAGAAAAGTAAGAGCTAGAGTAACGATCTACAACGAAATCTACAAAAAGAAAGAGTAAAGATGATAAAAAGTTGCAAACGCATAGTTTGGAATTCACCAAATCATCCAGAAGCATACATAAAAAATATAGCCGAAACTTTAGAGTAATAATCCCAAACCTCTAAGTATCGACGATCACAATAAATTAATGACAGACTCGGTTAGAAACGCACAACTGAAATGTTGCAACAAAAATGACACCAAAAGTGAAAAGATTAGCAAATATACAAAAGCTCTCATGGAAATACGATGAAACCTAAGCGAGAACGAAAAGGGAAACAAAGAAGAATATAAAAAACTAAATAAAAGAATTTCAGCGGAAATTAGAAAAGATGTAAGAAGATATAATACTAATATTATTACTCAAACAGTAGAAGAGAACAAAGGTTTAAAGATAATGAAAAGAAAACTCGCACAAAGTGAAAAAGAAATATACGAGCTGAGAGATAAAGACGGAAAGGCAACAACAGATAAACAAAACATTCTGAAAATAACCAGAGAGTTTTATAAAGACCTCTATACCAACCAAAGAACACAAGACAATTTCCCGACACGAGTAAAGACTCTCATCAATCAGGGATCGGAAATACTTTTACCCATTACTGTGTCAGAAGTAAGAGCAGCTTTAAAGGAAATAAAGAACCATCGATCGCCTGGTGATGATGGACTCGTTATCGAGGCAATAAAAGCAGAAGGAGAAATTTTATTAAAAACAGTAAGCGAACTGTTTAATAAATGCTTACATGCGGGTACGATTCCAAAAGACTGGAACAATGCAGTAAGTCTTGTTACACAAAAAAGGCGATATTACTGAATTAGAAAATTATAGACCCATCAGCCTCTTGACACATATGTACAAACTCTTTATGAAAATTTTAACAAAAAGGCTAACACCTAAACTTGATTTCTATCAGCTCAAAGAACATAAGATCATCTAACTACAGCCAGATTTTGCCGCAGAAACACTTGCAAAAGTAGAACGCGAGTCAGATGTTTAAAATGTAATGTTTATTTGTGCCTTACACAGGATCAAAATTGTTTTTTGTATTTTCATACACAGTAGATTTAATATTTTTTATTACCTAAAATAAAAACTATCATACACAATTGTGTGGATACCTTTTTTTTAAACACTGCGTACATAGATTGTTTTTAAATTTTTTTCTATTAATAAGTAACCTCCAAGTATCATTTGCACTAAATTTTACCAAGTTCTGAAGAAAAACTTATGTTCAGGTCTTAAAAGGTTATAGTTGCCGTCATACATATGAATGCCGTACATTCATTACAATCAATTGCTGCTTAATCCCATATAAACATAATATTTAACTTAAAGATGCCACAAGAAAACAGTTTCAAAACCTTTTTAAACAATATCACAATTTAATTTGTTAGTCCACTGATTCATATTCGGAAAGGACGGGGGTCAGTTTTGAGACACCCCGTATTTAGATATGGTAGAAAATAATAAATATTAAGGTTCTCATGTACGGCAACTAGATTATTATTAAAGTTTATTATATACAGTTAATAAACTCCACTTACTTTGACTTATTTAAATATTAGATTAGATAAATCAATCCAATAATTTTAAACATATAAACCAACATGCAGCTAAGAATTATGCATATATTTATAATATTATAGATAACGATACTACTAGGATATATTTTGATCAGTGTATCATTTTCACTACAGTAAACATCAGCCAAAATTGCTTATCTTTAAATAAATATTGTATTTGGCTTATTTTCTCTAATAATATCTTTTTAATATATCCACTAAAATATATTTAATCTTTTTTGTTTTCACCTTTTGGAAGATAAGCTTATCTAAACTGGTCGGAAAAAGTTATGAATGTTACTAAAAAGTGTTTAAAATAAAATTAATATCCAGACATATGTAAATAGATTCTTTATTTTGAAATAAATTAACACCAGTATATCTGTTGTACACCAAAAATCTAGAAAATCACAAATATCCCACAAAAAGACTGAAACGAGACAGTTCCGTCACGCTCGACTCAGAATTTTACTGTAGAGAAAAAAAGTAATACAATGCCAGTATAGAAGCTTCACTTTAAAAAGTTTTCTATATGATTTAAGGTTGCCAATTGTAGAATAAAAGGTCGAACATTATTATAAACTCACCCTCTAGCTTCCTGCTGCCAATATGGAGCGTACAATCCACTAAACGCAGGCACGAAGTAAACATCTCCTCCTTCTATATCCGCAGCCTTCTCGGCGATCTTTTGGGCTTCTCCAAAGTTGGGGAGTACCGTCAAATTGTCTCTCAACCAGTTCATAGCGGCTCCAGCTATGGCAACGGAACCTTCTAAAGCATAAACTGCAGGTTTGTCTGGGCCAAATTTGTAGGCGATTGTTGTCAATAACCCATGAGAGCTACTTACTTTCGAGTTTCCGGTATTGTAGAGAAGAAAACAGCCAGTACCATAGGTAGCTTTAGCCTAAAACATTTTTAATCGTTTATGGAGTATTTCTCGTACCCACAAAAGAGAATAAAAGATAGATTAACAGCAGAAGAAACAAAATTTTGCAATTTACTATTTTTACTGACAATCAGCCACAATTTTACTTATATATAATAAGTTGGTTTTGATATTTCGATTTTCACTTCGGAAATCGTTCTCAAAATACCAAACAATATATTAAACAAATTTTGTTTTTGTTAGTTGGTAAAAAATTTCTTCTAAGGACTCAAAAACTCATTTAATGACAAATATTTTCGCTTAGAAGAATTGGCACTGATGCCTAGAATCGCCAATACTAATAATCAAACGTCACCCTACTGGTTTTATAATGAGAACGAACTGTATGGGCCACTGGAAACCAGCTGACTGGGCCAACACCGCAAGGTCTTGAAGGTCATCTCTGCGTCAATAGAATTAGTTCGTTGAATATTTTGAAGGCGGAGAGAGACTTTTGGACTTATCTAACGCACAGGACCGCAATCAGGCATATGTGACTTACAACATCGTGCCCTTCCTTCAGGCTGTTCGCCCCGAACAGTACCCAAATGGACCAGATCGGTCGATTCTGTCCATTATGAGGACAAGGACTCTCCAGATATACAACCTTCGGCTTACTCTGTAGCGTCAGTTGCACCCTATATACAACGTTGTTTATCTTTCGGTAGTAATCGGACAGGGCACTTAGGCAGAACACAAGATGAACGGTGGACAAGACGTATTATGAAATGGAGGCCCAGTAACTATAAAAGAAGCCGAGGACCACCACCGACTAGATGGACCGGTGATATAAAACATATAGCGGGGAATTGGCTACAAGCGGCCCAGTGTAGAGAACACTAGAAAAAACTGAGGGAGGCCTATGTCCAGCAGTGGACGTGATTGGCTGAATGATGATGAGTAACCAGATACGATTCCTCACAGGTCCGCTGTCACTTGGGACTCAGACCTTTCCTTTTCGTTGGTTGGTAGAGCCAGACTTTGAAGCCAATGAGAGAGGATTTCTGATCGAATTTCACAAAATCGTGGACGATCTTTTAGGCCGACATACTCGGAGAATGTCTCTTGATCAGCCTCTATATCTGGTAAGTTGCCATGTAGGAGGTCAAAGGGAAGCTTTATGTCTCGACCAGTCAATAGTATTGTTGGAGTATAACCAGTTGCTTTATGTTAGGAGCTTGATTAAGCTAGCAGAAACAGACGTACCAGTTTGTCCCAGTATCTCTGGTTTTCATGTACAAACAGGGACAGTCAATTGTTGATGGTCCAGTTATGTCTTTTTACTATGCTGGCGGACTGACTGAAGAATGAGGCGGTGACCCTAATTTTCAGTCCGCCGGCATCATGGTCTTCCTAATTTCCGATTCGAAGTTGCACCACCGCTAGTAATGGAGTAGAAGTGGAACTACATGTCGAGAAATGACATTCTGTGTTTGCTTCTTGGTTGGGTAGTGCAACTATTTCTGGTCATTTGGAAAAATAGTCCATAGCAACCATCAAATACTTATTTTTTGATGTTGTTACTGGACAGACTACCAGAATGTTGACAGCAACTCGTTCCCATGGAGTTCCGGTAATGTATTGCTTGAGTTTTCCCCAAGTCTCATTTTGGGTCCTTTCTTGGATGCATGCAGATGACATTGTTTGCACCATTCTTTCATATCTTGCCGACAATTAGCAGTAATACCTCTCACGGACTTTGGCCAGAGTGTCCTCTCGCAGCGACAATCGTGGAGTTCTGCCAGCACGTCCTTTACGCATGTCCTTGGAAGAACAACTTGGACTACTGTTCGTGTTCCCTCTGGACTCTCCCATTTATGAGTGATGACAACATTTCAAAGGCACAAGTCCCACTGCCAAGCCAATAGCCCTACTTCTTCTTCTTCTTAACATGCCATACACCAAAGTGCGTAGGCGACTATCTCATTACTAGAATTCTGTTCTTGGCGGCGTGACACAGCTCACCTGTATTGTGTATTCCTGTCCATTCTTTAATATTCCTTAACCAGGATAATTGTTTGCGGCCGGCTCCTCTGCTACCTTCGATCTTCCCTTGTAGGATTAACTGTTATATTTCATATTTTGCTCCTCTCAATATGTGCCCAAGGTAACCAATCTTGCGTTTTTTAATTAATTCAAAGAGTTCTCTTTCCACGCCGGCTCTATTAAGGACGTCATCGTTTCGAACTCTATCCACCCAAGGTATGCGCATCATTCTTCTCAATGACCACATTTCAAATGCTTCAAGTTTGTTGATAGATGTTTTTTTCAGAGTCCACGTTTCCATGCCATACAGCAAGATGGACCATATGTAGCACTTGACCATTCTGTAGCGTATTTCGAAGTTTAGGTGTTGATTAGCCCTACATTGATTGTTATATTTGGTAATCTCTTGTCACTGTGGAATATATCGTCACTTTTACACGAAGATCTGAATGATTTTGAAACCGCTAATAGTTAAAAATTAAACAGGGGTGCAATAATAATTATTCACTATTGAGTAATTTTAATACAACTGATCAAATTTTTGATTGTTTATATTTGCTGTTGTAAATCCAGTTTGACAAACGCAGATTTTACTAACGATTTTTCTGTCTTAATATTTTAAGTTTATTAACAATTATAACAGAAACTATAATTGGATAGTATCAAACTAGTTTAATTAGTACTAATCTAGTATTACCAAAAAATAAATCAATCGAATGCCCTCTAAATTACATTAATTTTTTCATAATTAAGTCATTTTTTACAACAAAAATGTAATCACCTACCTGTCCTCTAATAAGACACTGTTGTCCTACCAGTGCTGACTGTTGATCTCCCAGACATCCAGCCAGTTTGACTCCCTTCAGCGACCCCTTTGTAATACTTCCGTAAACCTCCGAACTGGAGCGTATAGAGGGCAGAATATTGCTAGGAATGTCAAAGAAGTTTATAAGGACAGGGTCCCATTTAAGCGTATCGATGTTCATCAACATGGTTCTTGATGCGTTGGTAACATCAGTGACGTGAACGCCTCCATTAACACCTCCTAGATTGATGATAAGTAAACAGAAATAAGTATAGCACAAGACTGTTATTTAGTATGTATTACTTGTACAACAATTTCAGTACGTTCCTTAAATCGATCTTACACTGCAGCAATTACATGTAATGTACGACCGTGTAACTTTAACGAGTTTTAACAGATCACATGTGCTCACCCAATTCATTCAATAATTCAATCCTATTACACTGCAGAAATTAGAACATGTTAATATTAGAACATCGCTAGAACTAAAATTCTGGCAATATTTCTTTAAATTTGAAGTTGGTTACTTTATATGTTTATATTCTACAAAGCCATCGAAGAACATAGTAATTTAAGCAGGCCATGAAATTAAATATTACAGCATTATCTTTTTGAATGTTGTGAAATCTAAGTTGTTATTTTTATTACAATAAAGTGTCGTCTAAATCTATATTAAGTACAATATATAATTTTTTATATCTTCAAAATAATAAACATACAAATACACAATTTTCACAGTTATCTCAAGTGATTTTAGCTTTTCAAAAGTAGTGATAGAACAATTATTCATACTTATTTCGGGTGAACATTGCATAATATACAACTGTATAAGTTCGACAACATTTAGAAGGGCTTTCTATCATAATAATTTTTAATAAGGAAAGAATGTGAGGCAGCATATTTTAAAATATATACTTAAAATAAAAAATAGTAATATTTGTTATAGCCGATAACTCTGTATGCATTGGGACATTGTAACAACATTATTACAGTTAGACAAATTTTAAAAATATGAAATAAAGATAATAAATTAAACTTTCTGATAAATTTTATTTTTTTTTTGTATTACCTGTTAAGTTCCAAATCAACCACGAATCGATAGTACCGAACATGCAGTTTCCTGCAGCCATAGAACTGCGTATTTTGGGAATATTCTCCTGTAACCATTTAATCTTCACAGCACTAAAATATGGAGACAGAGGAAGACCACAAAGAGGTTTTAAGTAATTCTTGTTTCTCGTTTTATTTGGAACTAAAACAAAATATTGTAGATATAAATTATTGTAAGTAATAAGCCTTTTAAATCCCTTACAACAAATATTGTTTTAATTTATTATGATTAATAAACGTTTAACTTAATTAACTTAATAAATGACAGCATTAAAATCATCCTAATCATCAATTAGCCTGCATTTGTCTACTGCTGAACGTAAGTCTCCCGTAAACTTTTCTACTTACCTCTATCTTGAGCTTCTTGCATTAAATTCGTAATGATGCTCTTTACATCATCCGTCCACCTAGCCGGTTGGCGTCCTCTGCTTTGATATGCCTCTTATCTTAGTCGCCATTCCATAATATTCTAGTCTATATATCAACTCCATTTGGTCATGACTATTCTTTCAACTGCATCCTTAACTGCTGTTCTTCTTCTTATTTCCAGGGTTGGTACTTTTCTCTGATGATAATGCCCAACATTGTTCATTCCATCGTGTGCTGTTTAACTCTTATTTTATTAATTGTCCTTTTCGTCGAGTTGAAAAACATTGGTGGAAAACATTTATTTTCAAACCGACTGCCAAATTTAATCTACCAAAGACAGCCCATGTGAAACTTATTCGTCTTTGTATTTTAGTTGGCAGATTATCTCAGCCTAAGCGAATCGCATGCTCTAAATCTTAGATGGTTAAAATCTTCTCCATTACATTAATTCCTATATAAACCTTTCTTTCCATTCGATAAGTTCTATCCGGAACATTTTGGTGTCTTCATGAACTCTGACATAAGCTTAACCTGTTTCGTAGAGACTCTTAATTAAGTTAATATAGCGATAGTCAATGCTCGAAACATTTTATGGTGATCTATCTATAAATCTATAGTACCAAATGCTTTTTCGTAGTTTACGAATATAAGAAAGATCGAGCAATTTTCTTTTAGCGTTTTAATATAGTGTAAACGATCATTTGTTCCAGATCTAGAGCGGAGCCCAACCTGTTCGCAAGGTTAAAATCTTCTCCATTACATTAATTCCTATATAAACCTTTCTTTCCATTCGATAAGTTCTATCCGGAACATTTTGGTGTCTTCATGAACTCTGACATAAGCTTAACCTGTTTCGTAGAGACTCTTAATTAAGTTAATATAGCGATAGTCAATGCTCGAAACATTTTATGGTGATCTATCTATAAATCTATAGTATCAAATGCTTTTTCGTAGTTTACGAATATAAGAAAGATCGAGCAATTTTCTTTTAGCGTTTTAATATAGTGTAAATGATCATTTGTTCCAGATCTAGAGCGGAGCCCAGCCTGTTCGCAAGGTTGGTAACTATATAGTTTGTACACAAGCCGTTTTGTTATTATCTTGGTTTGTATGAATGGGAAAGCAAACTAATAGTTCTTTAGATCTGCTGTCACATTTTTCTGCATGACTGATATTATGGCTTTATGCCATTGGGAGGGGATTACGCCTCTTGACAAACAAGTATTTAAAATTTTTGTTAATTCAATTCAAAATAATTTTTTATTAATGTTTCCTTTCCTGCTTTGATTTGTACAATTACTCACTCATCTTCTCCCGATCATTCATTGTTTTTCATCTCCGAGAGAGCTCTTTTTATTTTTCCTTTTGCGATACCCCTTATAATGGATGAACATTCTACCAGAATATTCATTTCTATTCATTTGTTTGTTTGCTTTAAAAAATGTGTTGTAGTAATTTGCCTAAACTAGCGCCTTTAATCATTTTCATGCTTTATTCTCCGTCATCCAGTTAGTAGCATTCTTCAAAATGATTCTTATTTCACTTAAAACAAAATTCCTATTATTCTTATTCGTTAAATTCCTTACGCAACTCTGAAATAAAGTTTTTGTAATGACCTTCAGTGTCATCGTTACATTCCTTTGCCCTTTAAGCAGTAGTTTTAGTTTTGGAAACACAAAAAGCCCCATGGTGCTATATCGCGACCAATGAATATGTAAAACCATTTGTTTTGGCAAAAACTGTTGCACAAGGTTCGAAGAATACGCTGGTGCATTAGCGTGATGAAGAAACCAGCTGCCACCCTCCCAAAAATGAGACCTTTTCTTCTCAATGTGTTACACCATTTTTTTAAAACTTGCACATAAAATTCTTTATTGACTGTTTGACCTATTATAGTATATTCATGGTAAAAACACCTTCGTAATATTTTTTAAGCATATTTTCATCATTTGCAAAGATTTTTAAGCTTTTCGCAAAGATTTTTAAGTTATTCAGAGCGACTTCTAAGCGAATTTTTTCTGCTCTAACGTCAGCACTTTTACACTTACTTTGCACACACGTGAGTAATTAGCAAATTCTTGGTTAGACTACTCTAAATACAACTTTTCAGAAATATTCTAGTTCGTGCAGAAAGAAACGATGATCTTCAATTCCAGGTTTCCCACGTTCGACATTTTCCGATGTTTTGAATAATTGAACAATTCTTTCAATCTCGAAAGGAAATGAATGTATGAGCATCACTTAAATTGTTTACTCTTAACTTTTTTTTGAGTGTAACGCCAAACTTAATTCAAATTTATGTAAAATATATGTAAATATTATGAGAGAAAAAATGTAAATATTATTTACGAACTGGATACTTTTAGTTGGTATTGACTATGCTCGTATCCTCAAAAAGAGTTGGAATATTTGGCACTATAATTATGAACGAAGTAATGAAGAACTTTAGGTAAATAACTCGTTTATATGTAAATAACTTGTACATTAATGTATATTATAAAAAACCAAAAGACTTACCTTTGTTCAACAAACTATCGACTGTAGAAGAAGTCCTTACATCCAGCCAAACAATGGAATTGTACAAAGGTTGCCCCGTCTGCCTGTCCCACAGTACAGTCGACTCCCTTTGATTTGTAATCCCTACAGAAACGATATCATCGACACTTCCACCCAACGTGATTAGCTTGTCTATCGTTTTCTCTATGCATGTTTCTACAACGGAGAGAATCTCCAAAGGATCTTGCTCTACCCATCCTTCTTGTGGGTAAATTTGCGATAGCTCTATTTGGTGGGACGCTACCACTTCTGGTGTGCCAGCTTTAAATAAAAGAAATCTCGCACTTGAAGTGCCTGTAAAAAGAAGAATGCTTCATAAGTTTCATTCAGGTTTGAACATACGTCTTTATTATTAGTCATAAGTTTAAAGAAGTTTAAAGAAGATTCTTGTAGAAAAATTTAAGTTTTTAAATTAAAAATTAACGGACCCCTGTATTTTTTGACACTTTGGTCTGCGCGTTCGGAAAAGTTTGGAACGCGATATTTTATGAAATGACCATCGATCTGTTTTATTTGATTAGATAGGATCAGTGACGGATGGTAATAATTGGTTTCATCCCTGAACTGAAGAAATATTTGAAGAAGGAATGGGTTACTATCTCTAGTTTCATTATTCATATAATGCTCCTGGCCATTCTAAGGTCCAGTAAATTGAGAGTAGTAGAGGCCCAATAAATTGAGAATAGAGAGGAGAAAACGTGCAGACGGTGTTTATGCTACCTAACACAAATCACTAGACCGAGTGGTCATTAGATGTGTTAAGGTTTCTTACAAGTATTTAAAATTATTATATTTGGCTCGGATTCTGATGTTGAAATCACACAATTCTGAAAATTAGTCATGTCACTTATGCGATATCTTGTACTAAAGCAGCGTTGGATGAAAAAAACCAAAAAACGGTCAGAACTTAAGAATTGTCGAGAAAATCTGCTCATAACATGAACAATTTACCATAAATTGATGCAAACGTTCGTGCGATCATTCAAGCGACAATATCCGTCGCCTTGGAACGACGATTCGTTCATTTGAATATTGATAAACAATGATTTACCAGAAACAAAAAAGAAATTGATTTAAAAGGAATGGACACTGAAAAAAAGGGGAAAAGTTTTCTTGGTGATAGAAAATAATCACTCATCAAAATGTTTTTTTCAAGCAGAACTTATTCAACCAATCTCTTTCACACACTGACCTTTTTCTTCTGATTAATGTTTTTTTCTTGTTTTTAGTTGTAACTGTAAACTTTTCATCATATACAGTAATTACGATTTTAAAAGGAAAAATTTTTAAAGTAAATATACATCTACATGCCTATACAGAGTGTTTTATTGATACGTGAATGTGTCTTACTCCTTAAATAACCAAGGTGCACGATATTTTATCTGTTTTATCAATATTTTTCGATGGCCATAACTTGTAGCTGTAGCTACAACATGCAATTAAAACCTAGTATAATTACAGTATTGTGCGAATTAATGGAATCATTGGGACATTTTTCAATATTCACAGTTGGCAACGCATGTCCACGCATTTACAACTGACCAAGCGTTGAAAATATAATTTTACTTTTCTTTGTCTTTTATTTGAGGGTGTTTTAGAACATTTCCACTAAGTTTGTGTTGTTTTGTACTATTTTGTGTTGCTTTCGGTAATTAGTGAGTTCGTTTCGTTTAATTCCATCATGAAGATTACGCCTAGGAAGCGTGAAAAGATTATCACGTTAAGTGAACGCACTGTTACAAAGAGAAATCGCAAGAACGTGTGGAGTGGGTCAGGGGATATTAAGCAAGATTTTAAAACTTAAACGAGAAACGAATGAAGAAACAAAGGCTATTGTGGACCAAAAATATTCTAATTGAACTGTAGACGACTGGAGAAAAGTCCTATTTACAGATGAAACTCACTTTATAGTTCAGGGATAGCGGTAGAAATTCTTCAGGAAGTCTGACAATGAAAACCTTACACCATCTCATATCAATGAAACCGTAAAATATCCAGTCAAAAAAATGTTTTGGGAATGTTTTTCATATATGCTATTGGAGATCTTTGGTACCAATCGAAGGTATGGTGAACAGCTAACAATACAAATTCATGTTGAAACAGCAATTGGACACAGAACTCCAAAAATGTTAGTCCCAAGAAGGAGCGATTCTTCAACAGGACTCTGCTCCCTGTCACAGGTTAAAGCAAATGATGGAATTTTTCAAAAATCATCATCATTTGGCTCTGCGTCCTTCCATCTCTTTCTTGGACGACCAACTGACCTTCTGCCATCGAGCCTTTCCCAGAATGTGGGAAATAATGTAGCGTACTATGTTTTCATCTCCATATACTGTCTGGAGTTCATCATTTAGTTTTTTTCTCCATTCTCCTGTTGTCTTTTCTCTGCAAGGCCCATAGATAGTCCGCAGTATCTTTCTTTCCAGTACCAGTAATTTTGTCCTTTCCCGCTGGTTCAGACTCCATGTCTCGCTTCCATACGTTATTGTGGGACGAATTATTGTCTTATACACTCTTATTTTTGCTGGTATTGAGAGTATTTTTAATTTAAGTACGGTCATTGAGTAATATGCCTTGTGTCCTGCAATGATCCTAGCTGCCACGTCCTTTTCATATTTATTTACGGATGACATGATCGCTCCCAGGTACTTGAATTCTTTGACGACTTCAAAGTTGTATTCATTGATTTGTTACGTTTTGTCTAACCCTTGGCTTTGGGTTCTTCGTAACCACCATGTACTTGGTCTTGTCCTCGTTGACCTTCAGACCAACTTCCTTGGCTCCGTTTTCGAATAGGGTGAAAACTTCTTTTGCATCTCTGGCGGATTGTGCAAGTGTGTCAACGTAATTCGCAAACGCCAATAGTAGTTTTGATCCTTGGGCGGCAAATCCGTTTGTCAGTTGTGGTTGAGCTTTCCTTAACGCATGTTCGAGTGCAAAATTTAATAGCAGGGGTGCGAGAGGATCTCCTTATCTAAGCCCGGTGTCAATGAGGAATTCCTCCGACTTGGTGCCGCCAATCTGATCCATGCAGAAGCGTTCTCTGTGTTCACCTGTGCTAATCGTACTATCTTTCCAGGTACTCCCATTTTTACCATGGTCTCCATCAATGCTTCTCTGCTAAGAGAATGGTAAGCTTGTTTAAAGTCCACGAAGATTTAATGTACATCGCGTTCAATTTTTCAAAAATAAGAAGAATAATTGTTCGTAAACCTGTAAGACCTGTAAAGCGATCATTCAGATTTGGTTTTGAGATGCAAGCTCGTAGAATTTATGCCAAAACGGGTAAAAGTAGTAATTGCAGCCAAAGAAGAACATATTTCCTACTAAATTATGTAAGTTTACCTTTATATTTGTCAAAATATAATTTTTTTCTAAATAAACTGTTTTTTTTTATTAAAACATCCTATGATTCCATTAATTAGCACAATACTGTAGATCATATTCAGAACATATGTTTCACTTGAAAAAGACAATCAACTAACCGGTTTACATATATTTCTGAGATATTCTTAACCAGCTCCGTCATTGCAAAAACTAAGAAATCTGTTTTTCTGAAACTCGAGATTTAACACCCTATATGATTTTTTAAATTTGATGTGACATTTAGACAGAGCAGAAAATTTTGAATGGGATTATTCACTTTTAGATGTCCCCAATGTCAATCTACTCTTCCTCTTGTGAAGGCGGACCACTCAAGTAAAATACCTTCACGACTTCTCCTGCTTGTCGTAAAAGGCGACTAAATGGAGCAGCTGTCCGCTGTCCACTACCCAAATTCCTAACCTGTCCCTGTGTCATAAGACCCCCACCCCTACCCATCATACACGTCCTGATACCCAAACCTATACCCGAGGAGAAAACCACCACTAATACAAAAACCAGTGGAAAAAACCACTGAGAACAAATGGATATGCATAGAACAGGCGGCTATGCATCATTCTAATATATCGCCACCCTAGCCTCAAGGTGTAACACCATCGTGCCGAAGGGGTGCATGGCCCAAGGGGAAAAGTGGGTCTCAAGCGATGCCCTAAGGAGAAGGCGAGCCGAAGGGGATTATAGCCTTGGCGGAGTATGGGCGCACTGCCCCGCTGGACCGAAGAATCGACCCAACTCGTGAGAAGAAAAATGGAAAAATACTTAATAAAAAAGAAGGTAAGCATAGGGGTAGGAGAGTCTATGAAGGATATAGGCGAAGAGAAGCTGGCGACATTAGCGGAAGAGGAGGAAAAGGACAGTCGGGGGGGGGGGGGGGGGGAGAAACGAGAGGGGGCAAAACGAGAACAAAGAAGGAGACAACGAGGACATAGGTGAAACAGTGGAGGAGAATGACAGTGAAAACTAAACGGGAGATAATAATGACGAGAGTGAATGGACCACCAACACTAACAGAAAAAAGGTAAGGAAATCGCACGGAGAGAAAGGCATAGGAGCTCGTGGAAATAAAAATGAAAGTAAGATAGATTTAAATAGAAGTAAAACAGAGAAAGTAATGTCAAAAATGAAGGGATGCATCGACGAGTTGGTGAACCTAACAAAGGCGGGGGCAAATACAAAGAATGACATAAAACATGGAGCCGCAAATGTACGGCAGATTTGGTGCGAAATGAAAAAAAAAACATAAGAGAGCTAATGTGATACATTATAATGTACTAGTGCTACAGAGGATATTGACAAAAGGGAAGGAAGAAAATGTGTAACAACAATAGGGACGCAAACAAAAATAACTATAGCAACAACTACGAGGTGCGTAGGGACCCAGGTAGAATAAATTGGGAAGAGAACCCAGAATTACAAAGAAAAAGGATTGAGGTACTATATAAGAAAATGGATACGGCAGAAAGCACCGAAGAAATAAGTGAAGTACTAGATCAAGAATGGCCAGAGGAGGTTTATGAGAAAGTAACCGTCTGTGAAAAAGGAATTTTGGAGGCACACCGGAAGATGTGGCAATCTTGGTAACAGAGGATGCTGCTGACGCAAGAGTGAAGGGGGATTTTAGTGCAAGGTACCCAGACCTCCCCGGATTATACGCGGAAGAAGATGAAAATGGAGGAATTGGAACTATGTCTCAGATAATATGTAGAGGCAAATGGGAGAGAGAGAACATCAAAACAAATTTGTTCACAACCTGAAACAAAGGAGAACCAATGGCTGTTAAATTCTTGGCAGCAGCCAGGAAGCTATTCGACCGTATGGAAAGAATGGATAGAGAAAAGATAGAGATAGGGATATGTGAGGAAAACATTGGAAAGAAAGGAACATGAAAAAGGCGACCCGAAGATAGGCAG